ATAGACAGTCCTGTGGCACCTTTAAGACTAACAGATGTATTAGAGCATAAGCTTTCGTGGGTGAATGCCCACTTCGTCGGATGCATGCACCTGATTAAGTGGGCATTCACCCACGAAAACTTATGCTCCAATACATCTGTTAGTCTTAAAGGTGCCACAGGACTCTCTGTTGCTTCTGTCAAAGAATGAAATCAAGCTGTCTTGGCACGATTTGTTCTTAGTAAGTCCATGCTGGCTCCAGGTATTCGCCAATTGAATGTTTTATACCTTGCGCTAGGAGCTGCCCAGGTACTAAGTTCAGGCTGATTGGTCTATAGTTCCTCAGCTCCTCCATTTCCCCCCTTTTTAAAGATGAGCACTATGTTAGCCCTTCTCCAGTCTTCCGGGACCTCTCCTGTCATCCGTGAGTTTGCAATCTGGGAATGAAGAATGAAAGAAAAAGAGTCAATTTGAACTTGAATATTGCACTGCTCTCCTATCATCCAGAACCCTACAAGTGTGCAGAAGATCAAACAGTTGAGTGATCTCATCAGAAACATAAGACTAATAAAACAATAGTGACAGTGGTTTTAGGAGGGAGATGTAATACACAATTGATTTAAGGAAGTTTTAATTTTGATCTAAATAGGAATTTAGAATACCAGGGCCTTTCAAAGTTTTGTCCTAGGGAGATAGAGAGGCTGAAAGATGCTTTTGGCGAGACAGTATTTTAGCAATTACTGGATAGTCTGAGGGAAGGGGTGAAATCTTGGGTGAGGTCTAGCATATAAAGGCATGTGATGGAGAAAGTGACTTTCTGAAGGTGGAAAGGTTGCAGACATCCGGATCCTAGATGGCTAAAGCTTCTGTAATTATCTAGGAAAGTCTGACAAAAATCACTGCTGATCAGTGTTTCAACATTTCTTTTCCTTTCTACATTTTTTTTATTCATTAATTCTCATTTTCATCTCTGTAATAGCTTAAGGGCAAATAAGAATATGTTTTCTTCTAGAACTATTTATTTATGCAAATCCTTAATGTCTGGTTTGTCAGCTATTTCATAAACTGCACATAAGTTTTATTCTAGCCCAAGATAATATAATCTCATCAAGTCATACAAGCAAATCAACAGTCAACTAAAGTGAATGATATCTTAAGTATAAATGGGGGAACATCCAAATTAGAGGGAGAAAGAGAGTGAGGAACCTAGAGAAAACGTTAATTCAGAGCAAGATTGAGACTTTACATCCTGCCTTGAGAAAGGGGTTGAATGTAGGTATGCAATGCCAGGAGCATAGGGAAAACATGTGACTGTGTATGTCCATATCCCTGCTTAAACTATGTACAGTATAAAATATTGCTTATCTTTTTATATGCTATTATTGAAACCTGCACTTTGCATTCAAATATATTAGGAGTAGCATTACGTGGTTCACTTTTCCAGAAAGTGATTACTCACAGCTATGGTTTAAGTAAATGAAACAAAGTATTGGTTTTAAAGTCAGTTTGCCATTGAGTTATGATTGATGGATAGTGATACCATGGTAATGGGTGTAAGAACCTGAAAAGGAGAAAAGAAAAGAAAAGAAATACATGTTTCTGTTAATAAAATTGTAAAACACATGAAGTCCTAAATCATTTAGGGGTCTTTATAGCAGAAAATATATGCTGCCTTCTACACTGCAGAAGCCCCAGAAGGTTTCACGCTCATTTTATCTATTCAACAAGAAATACAACCAGACCAAAACCAACTTTCACCAAGATTTAAAGTATGGAGTTCCAAACAAGTCTTGTGATGGAGACTATGTTTTTGTTTTGTTTTCTTAATATTCTGCCCAGTCCACAAATTATCACTGACTGAGGAGAAACGTATTACTTTATAACGTTTAAATTCAAGATTAAAGGGGAGAATATATTGATGAGACACTTAAATATCCACTTCCGTATATCATTAGGAATAAACTGCATCTGTACTGGACTAGTAAATTATTTCCTTACCCTTAGGAGTCTTCTTCTATCAGACAGAGGACACCATCTTTCTTAGAATTTTTCCTGTAGATCTTAATTTTTTTTCTTTTCTTCTTAAAGAAGGCTTTTGTCAGATTAGCAATGGCTCTTGCTTTCAATCAATCATAAAGGGCTTCGTTCTAGGGTAGATGTCAGTGATACATTTATGTCAACCGCTTTAGTGATACTCATCTCATGTTACTGATAATGGTTAACAAGGGCTGATCCTATGAACACCGTTATGCATAGCGTTTATTACCAGAAATCAGTGCTTACCTGTCAACTTCTTAAAATAAAACAGCAGAATTTAAATGTACATATTTTTAAGGCCTGCCTGATGGTGCAGTGGATTCTAACTCCTCTCTCTTGATGTGGGAGGAGGGTCTCCCTGCCCCCACCCCCTCAAAAAAACCAACTACGCTATTTGGCTCTGTCTCCCCAGCACTTGAATTAGAAAACCCCCCCACACACATAAATCAATTCTCACCTCCCAACATGTCTCTTTGAAGGGTGGTATCTATTGATGATAGACATTCTGTTTTCTCCTGAGACAGCATCATGGGCTCATCACACACATGTCCCATGCCTGGGAATGACATCTCCATAAGGATCCTTTTCCCTTTCTCCCAGGCTTAGGGGAAAAAAAAGCAAGAGTGTAGGATTTCCCCTTCTCTCAGGATTGGAGGACAACAGCAGCAGGGGGGGTTCTGCTTGTCCCTCTGAGGCTTTAGCGGGGTAGGGTGGGGACAGGAAGCAGCAGCAGTTACAGAACTAGTAGAAGTAGCAGGTCCCCAGTTTACACTCTCTGCACAGGGCTGAGTGATTTAGGAGGGAGTAGTGACTGCTACACATACTGGTGGACCAAACTGTCCCTCAGCCCATACAGCAGCTCTGACTGGCAGCCCTTGAAGGCATGGAAATGCAGGAGGGCAGCCAAGCAGGAGGGGGATTTCTCTGTACACTAGCGTTTGCCCACCATAGACACCAAAAAGGGTTGAAAAGTCTGTAGTCTGTGCAGTAAACCTGTGGAGTTGTTAGGTTTGCAATAGGATATTGCCTGGTAGAAGGCACCACACCTGGCAGTGTTTTCAGGATCAGGCTCTTACATTGTAAGGAGCTATTCTCCTATGAAACATGAATTTATTAATAAAATTGCTTGTTTCTATTCATTCTGACAAATATCTAGCATTATTCTTTGTTATGGCCATAGCCACAGGTGTACATAGCATTTTACAGACAAAGATGACAGGGCTGCTGTTTTAGTCTACATTTCATGACTGTGATTTCTTATTTATACTTCTTCTTTCCCCTTACACAATTATTCACCTTTTAAACCCATCCTTTACTACTTGATCTGAATAGCTTTTGCAGTTATCAAATGCTAGTTTCACCGTGGCATTTAATTACCTGCAAAAGCCATTTATTGCCACATATATAATCCTGAGCCATGAACATTATCCCTTAATTAAAGCCAACAACATCCAACATGTTGGCTGGCATATATAACATTCCTTAGGCACATGATTCACAACTCACTAGGACTGAAAATTTAAACTTTCAATGCCAACAAGAAATACATTTTTGTCACAGGATTCCCTCTACTGTCATCTAATCTTGCTGTTACAGGAATTGCTTCCCATTTCCTTTGTATTCACAACACACCATCTTTGCCTAATTATAGCACTGCCTGTTTTTAGGGAGAAGTCCTGCTCTATTATTCTGTGGCCAGAGAAGGCCCCAAAATACAGCAGAAGCTTAGTCAGAATATGCAGTAATGCAAATACCTCTTAATGATCATCATGAATAGTAAAATTTCATTTTATTTTTTGTTTTTAAAAATGATTTTAGAAAGAGCTGGATGTGATGTTTAACAGGAGTCTGAATGTCTCGGAAAAAAACACAAAATAAAAACTGCAATTGAATAAGCATTTCAACATGACTGAATATCAGTATTACAGCATAAGGGAGAATAAAATATCAGAATGTAACAGTACTCCCACACTGAGTTACACAACATAGACAGTGTTTCTACCTGGCAAAATCAGTTAGGTGGGAGTTTAATCTTTATCTCATTTCACTATGCCCAATTTTATCAGCTACTTAAGGGAACAGGCAAAATTAAAAATAATTTCTGGAGACATTATTGTGGGAATAATTTGAACATTGATTCTTTTTTCTGATTAAGTTCCATAGTCTCAGTGAATATGTTATTCTGCTGTCAATATAGCAGAGAATCAACCAGGTCTACTAACATTGTGAACGAAGTCTTTCCCCTATAAAGCCATGTTCCTAATTAATTATGCCCCTTAGCCACCATTAAAAGAACTGGGTTGTCAGTCTAACTGAAGGCCTCTGGAGGGCCAGCGTAGCACACTACAGTGGCCAGAACTTCTGCTCCATCCCTACCATGTGAATGTATATTAGCTGCCTTGTCCTCTAAACGAGAGATGATCCAAAACTGGAATCTCAAATCTGAATCCAAAGAAATGTCAGAGGCTGAACGGGTACCAATGGGGAATCTGCTGGTCCAAACCTGACCCTACAATTTTAATCCTAGTTTGTTTTCAAATATAGAAAGGGCACACTTTCCAGTTTCACTTTAGATACAGATGAAGTTTCACAACATCACCCCATGATATCAGATATCTCAAAGGTCAGCTGATGGTAAGGCTGTGTCTACACTACCACTTACGTCAGCAAAATGTATGTCATTCAAGGGTGTTAATATTCTACCCCCTGAGCGACATAAGTTATGACAGCATAAGCACTAGTGTACACAACTCTATGTCGGCAGGAGAGCTTCTCCCGCCATCATAGCTTTGACTGATCACGGGAGTGGTTTTTTTATGCCGTCGGCATAGAGCATGTTCACCATACCTGCTGGTACAGCTGTGCAGCTGCAGCACTGTAAATGTAGGCATGACCTTAGCTTTCCACCATTCAGTATAGTATAATCATTATGAGATCATCTAATCTCATACAATTTCCACCATTTTGTTTTGAAATTTCTCAAGAACTATTCATGAGATGGCAGAATGACTCCTGATGCTTCTCCTGGAGGGTTTGGCTCTGCCCATTTCCCTGACACAGCACTGCCAAGCAGGTACTACTGAGAACCTAATAATTATTCTGTATAATAGTTATATAATGAATTATCTATTGTTATAATGCACTTACTTATTATTTGTATTAGCACATTGTGGGAACTAGTGTAAGTGCTGTACAACACTCAGAGAGACAGAAGAACATACATTCCAGGATATTCTGGGTCTATAGATTATGTGAGCAATTTGTTGTAAGAATTCAATCACAGATATTAAAAATCCGAGTTCTGTTGGTTAGTTTTGATAGGACACAATCACATGTTGTGGTTTTGTTTCCTGATTGGACAAGATTTTGCTGGTGGCCGCTCTGACAATTTTTCCAAAAATACTTGATTAACTTTAGGAAAAACAAATAAATATGTACATATACATGCCCAAATCATTGTAATTTATTTATGTAGGGTATTTATTTTTGCAGACTCAATAATAAAAATAATGTACAGTTGTATTTTGGTGCTCCAGGCCCTGCTGCTTCCCCCACATTGCCCTGAGCTCCTTTCCGCAACCTCAACCCCAGGCTTAACCTGCTCCTTGCCTCTTGACCATGGCACCTGGTAAGGCTGGCCATCCTGAAGCCCGGCTGGAGCAGTGGGGAGGGCTGAAGCCCATAGCCCCACCACCCTGAGGGCTGGAAACCCAGAGCCCTCTGCCAGAGCTCCAAGGCTGAATCCCGCCACCGCAGTTCCTCAGCTGAAGCCCGCCACCGGAGCCTCTGGCTGAATCAGGAGAGCGGGGCTAACGCCTACCCATGAAGTCCCGCAAGTAAAGCTGGGATGGGGGGGCTGAAGTCCTCCTCCAGAGCCTCTGGGTGCTGCAGGGAGGGCCCGCTGCTTTGCCCCTCCACCCCCCATCTCAGCCCAGGAGGCTGTCGTGGCCACAGGAAAAACCCCTGGTGGCTGCATATGGCCACAGTGGCTGCATTTGAGAAACATGGCACTAGATGGTCATGGTCATCCCTTCTGAATCTCCCTGTTCATTGTCTTCCTTCTTGGGTCATGTAGAATACACTAAGCTCTATATTGCTCTCAACTTGCGCATAACAGTTTCAGCTCTGGATTATGACAGTGATTACAATCATGACTACAATCAAATCTCACCCTTCAGGACTTCAGACGGTCACCTGCAAGTTCCAGGAAGGATTTTTTTCTCCAATGCACAAGTGGCCAGATGTATTTCTCTTCTTACCTTCCTCTGAAGCACCTAAGGATGGCCATAATTGGAAGACTAGTGCTCCAAGGTAATACAGAGCATCCTCTTTTCTAGAAGCTTGGCTCATGCATCTTGCTTACATATTCAGGGTCAAATTGATCACCAGATTTAAAGTTGGGACGGACTTTTCTCCAGATCAGATTAGCAGAGACCATGTAGCAGTTTATTCACCTGAGGACTGAAATGTGTTAGTCTAACTCAAGTTATTGGGCCCACTATAGCAGCATCTGGGTGAGATTTAATGGTCTGTGATATGCAGGAAATGAGATTGGAGGACTTAAGAATCCTTTCTGGCATTAAATTCTATGAAAATAACAAATATTACTTAAGTTTCTGGTGTAGATTTTTGAGTGTGAGTTATTAGTTCAAATTTTGCTTTCTGAGAAAGATCTTTCTGTTGCTGTGAATGTTTGTGCCAATAAACACATTTACTAGAATATTTGTGAGAAGCAAAGAGATAAAAGACATAAATACATCTGAAACAAATTCAAATGTTTATGTAATCATATAATCACTGATTTTTATTTAGGAGGCACTCAATTCCGTCCTGATCCTGAAATTAGGGGAATCTATCGTTTTCTAACACCTACCTGTAATTTTTGATTCCATAGTAAAAATTCCTCTGTTTGCTTAAACTCTGGTGTTGTTAAGTTTTACATAATAATCATGCTTAAGTCTATTTATTCAAAAGGCAAAAACAGTCAGAAATGTTTCTTACAAACTGTGTCACAGATGTAATAAATTTATCAGCTTATGCCTGCATTACATCTTTTTAAATATTTCTAATTTATTGATGCATTCTCATGAGTAATTATTTCAAAATAAACTCAACCTTAAACTGAGATGTCACTCTCAACTACAAAAAAAGTTTCTACAATTAAAAATTTGAACCTAATTAATCTTCAGCATAATTTCAATATGGTTCCTATGTACTTTATTCAGCAAAGGAATTTTAGGAGATGACATCATGTCTGAGAAATTGTCACACTATGCAGCAAAGATTCCTTGGCCAGTTAAAGTAGCTCTTTGAGGTGGTACCAGCACAGTCAGGCTGACAGAAAGTATAGTTGTCTACACATGGACATAATTTTTTTATTTTCCTTAGATGTAAAAACATTAAAGGAAACAGTTTGATAAACAGCGTAATGTAGACTACTATGTTATGAAAACAGTCTGATTCCCAATGCGCATATGGTACTCTTTGGTGGATTAGGAAAGAACAGTCTTATTGATACATTCACTGTGGTAGTCTGGCTGTTAGAGACTAAAAAAAAAGATAGTAGAAGATTAGCAACATGTATGATGGTGAAAATAAAATTTAACAAAAGGGTTGTTATGGCTGTCAGAAAAGACCAAACAATTCTTGATCCACACTGGTTAAAAGAGGTCTGCAAACAAAGTAGGATCATCCTTCATTTCAAACAGTCTTGTGATCAGACCGAAGTAAGATAGCAGCTGCTTAAATAGAGTTAACAAGCCAGACACTTCAATCCCAATAAAAAGCTACTGTACAGTATGTTGTGGCAGTTCATTTTTAAATGAAAGTCAGCTTTCCAGCTGCAAACAATTTATACGATCAAAACTTCCACAAAACCACTGAAATGTTAATGCTCACTTCAATGCGTGTGAAGAAACTAAGTACATATTTTTAGGTTACATTTAATAATTAAAAACTCTTTATGAACTTAGTTTTGCTCAGGCACATTTGTGCCAAGTAATGTTTTTAGGTGATCACATTAATTTTTATTTGAAATCTGGTCAAATGCATGTTGAGTCGCTGTGGGTTAAATGTTTTTATATATATATATATACACACACATCAAGATCTGATATAAATTACAGTTGTTTTCAAAAGTTAACCAGACCTGTCAAGACTCCCATCTGCAACAGAAATATCCTATATTAGGAATTCAGCCTCTGTTTTTCACCAGTCTTCCAGATCCACCTGTCCAAGCCATGCTGAAGAGGTCAAATCCAGCATCTGAGGTATGCTCTGCAGGCAGCGCAACAAAGTGAATTGCACAAGTCTGGTAAATTTCACATTACTAACCTGCAGCTTAACTGCAAAGTGAAAATTACCAGGCTAGTAAATTTCACTTTGAAGCCTGCTGTACAGGCCTAACACACTGTGACTTGGAGTACCATGAGAGCTTGGGGGAGGAGAACAGAGAGGAGACCAGAGAACAGCAAAGGGCAGTTTAGCACACAGTGATACCTCAGCCAGTATACTGCTGGAATATCACCACCACAAATAGGAGATGATTTTGTTTGACCATCTCACCAGCGCTCTGCCCATTAATCCACCTCCTCTGGTAATACTTTTAATATTCAGATTTATGAGCAGCTGCTAACTGACATTTTAAAAAAATGGCTAGAATTTTTTTCCTTTTTTCCTCCTTGATGTACAATTATTTCCCTTCTGCACAAATTGTACTTGAAGTGCAGAAAAAGCATGCTATGGTAATACAAATAATAATATTTAAGAGCAGGACCAGTGATAGATGAAAGGATCCCAGCTACTGCGTACTATCACATTAATAATACAGCCATTCCAATCTCATATCAATAATACTCATTTCAATACAACTCATATCATATCACATTGTAATAGGCCAGGGCTTCTCTTCAACTTGCAAAGGATCCACTCCCATACCCACACTCTCTCTTGGGCAGCTTTATTTCTCAAACATAAACAAAAGATACGCAAAACAAACAAACAAATAAGTCTTCAGCTCACCCTAGACCAGTGGTTCTCAAACTTTTTTGTTTGAGGACCACTTGAAAATTGCTGAGGGTCTCGGCGAACCACTTAATGATCTTTCCAAATGTTGTTTGTACCTTTAGCTAACTATTGTAAAGCGCTTTGGATAAAAGCGCTATATAAAGAAAGCAATAATAATTAATGTTTTTTGTTCTACAAATAAAAGCACATAACGCATATTTTAATATCAGTAGTTTTACCTTTCTAATGTGATGGATGTGCCCTCTCCCCCGTGCACTGCGGCGGCCCCCAAGCTGGAGCTGGGAAGGAGAGGGGTCTCTCCTGCTCTCCCCTGCCACAGCAGCCCTGGAGCTGGGGCTGGGAAGGAGGGGCATCCGTCAGCCGCAGCCCTGGAGCTGGGGAAAGTCGCCTCTTTCTCTGGCCGCCGGAGCCCTGCACATCCCAAAATTCCCACCACCCCCTCTTCTCACCCCACTGCCCCCTCCCACCTACCTCCTATTTCCCCCAAGGCCACCACCTCACAAGGGCCAGGCACCTAATTAGTGGAGCCACGCCTGCACGGTTCCACTAATTAGACGGGTGGCCCTTCATTCTTTTGTATGCGGTCACCCAAGTAGGCACCTAAGAGGGAACTATCCGCGGACCACCTGAATGGAGCTTGCGGACCACTGGTGGTCCACGGACCACGGTTTGAGAACCTCTGTCCTAGACTACAACTCCCAGGAGATGTTTCCCTTTTGCCTCTCACTTCTGACTTCCTTCCCTCCCAGGGAACTCTAACAGTTCTTCTACACCAAACACAATATGTGCCTAAATTCACTCAGCACCTAAATTTTCAGGGTGAAAGTTCCCTTGGAGCTTTGAGTTTCTGCCTTTGTACATGCACACTTCTGCCTCACTCTAGGTGTCTGGAGACCTTTCTCTCACCTAAGTTCCAAAGTGATTCACAGACCAGGGGAAGATAGGCATTTTGCAACCTAACTTTCATTCAGAACCTGATCTGGTAGGTGTGCTTGGAGGCTGCCTACTGGACTGAGTCCCATTCAAAATTCTGGCTGGAGGACGTGCCCAGCTTGTAACTCTTAGCCCAGTGGTTACCATACTCACCAGGCAGTCAGCCCCAGCAACAGATGGAGAAGCAGTTCCATTTCCATATACTGCAAGGTAGAAGAGTAGGGGAGAGCTAACCCTCCCCAGTAACCAGAAGCACCATCTTCACAGAGGGGCTCATCCTGAAGATGTTCCCTTCCATAGCTTCACTAAATAAGGCTATATCCTCATTGACAGCTTTGTGTGGGAAGGTACAAATACCTCTATCCATCAGTCTCACCCTTCAATAACTCATTCACCAGGTAAAGTGAAGAGGAGGAAAGGAGCCCTCATGGCACCATGAGGGAGAAGTAATAGTGCATCAGATCCTTCCATGAGGTTTTTCTTGCACTGGAAGCTGGGGGAAGGCCAGGGTTTGAGCAACAGAAACACTCCTTTCATGATACCACCACAACAATGTTTCCTGGCTAGCTAGGAAGGGGCTTCAGGGTGAGGAAAGACCTAGTCTAAGGGACTTAGCTCAGTCATATATGAAGAGAGGTGAATGCTCTCATGGGGGAATGACACCACCATGCATACAGGTGACAGACACAATGACATACATTCCTTTGACTATTAACTGCAAATTTCTATAGTATGCACTATAACACGCCAAAGCAAAGGACATTGTATCCCCAGACTAACCGTAACTCGGGAAGGAATGCTGAAACTGGTTGGGCAAGTAAACTAAGAATGGGATTGGTGGGTGTACTGGAACCCATTTGGCTGGGAGGAAGATTAGAAAAGAAGCTGGGGAAAGTTGGAGATACTGGGACTGGCTGGACAAGGAGATAGGGACTAGGAAACAATATGAGGGGAGGGAACAGGGGCAAGAGGAGGAGATACAGATCAGACAAGGAGCTGGGCAGTTAGGAGAGAACTGGGACAGGCTGGGTAAAGAGACTGGGACAAGAAGCTAGGGAAAGGGTGAGTGAGGAAACTGAGATTAGATGAGGAGCCTGGGGAGCGAGACTAAAATTGGGATGGGGAGGGGATCCGCACTGACAAGGAGTCAGAATGGGAAGAACTCAGTCTGCCTGGGTAAGTAGACTGTGACTGCAAGGAGAAGCCTGAGGAGTGGAGAGTGGAACTAGGTAGACGAGGAGAATGGGACCGAGAAAATGAGTCAGACATGGAGAAGAGACAGGACTGGCACAGGTACAGATTAAAGGGGATGGGGTAGAAGGAGATCAAGGTTTGGGAGAACAGGCAGAAGATTCTGTGCCCATTTGTGCACACTCCCCTCTAGAGCATGTAACGGACCCCAAAATTCCTTAGTCTCACCATTCCTCTCCTGTCAGCAAATATCCGTGACACCCACTGGCAAAACACGCCAATCCCACTCAATCACTTGTCCACATAAAGAATGACAACCTGCTTCATCAACTCAAGCCATGCATTTAGGGACTAACAACAGGGATTTTTGCTAAAAGCTGGTGACGTATCAGTTGGAAATGACAGAGGGTGAGAAAGACCGAGGTGTATTTGTTGCTCATAAGGTGACTATGACCATCAATGTAATGTAGCCATGAAAAAGACTAATGCAGTCCTAGGATGCATCAGACAAGGTATTTCCGGTAGAGACAGGGAAGTGTTAGTACCGTTATACAAGGCACTGGTGAGACCTCATCTGGAATACTGTGTGCAGTATTTAAGAAAAATCCCGTGTTTAAGAAAAATCAATTCAAACTAGAACAGGTGCAGAAAAGGGCTACGAGAATGATCCAACAAATGGAAAACCTATCTTACGAAAGGAGATTCGAAGGGGGTGGCTTGTTTAGCCTAACCAAAAGAAGGCTGAGGGGAGATATGATTAATGTCTATAAATACATCAGAGGGATAAATACCAGGGAGGGAGAAGAGTTATTTAAGTTAAGTGCCAATGTGGACACAAGAACAAATGGATATAAACTGGCCATCAACATGTTTGGGCTTGAAATTAGGCAAAGGTTTCTAACCATCAGAGGAGTGAAGTTCTGAAACAGCCTTCCAAGGGGAGCGGTGGGGGCAAGAAACCTAACTGGCTTAAAGACTGACCTTGATAAGTTTATGGAGGGGATGGTATGATGGGACTGCCTACAATGGCATGTAGCTGATCTGTAACTGCTAGCAGCAAGTATCTCCAGTGGCTGGTGATGAGACACTAGATGGGGAGGTCTCTGAGTTACTACAGAGATGTCTTTCCCAAGTGTCTTGTTGGTGGGTCTTCCCTACATTCAAAGGGTCTGATTCCAATATTTGGGGTCGGGAAGGAATTTTCCCCCCTGTCAGATTGGCAGAGACCCTGGAGGTTTTTCGCTGTCCTCTGCAGCATGGGGCATGGGTCACTTACAGGTTTAAACTAGTGTAAATAGTGGATTCTCTTTAACTTGACGTCTTTAAACCATGATTTGAGGACTTCAGTAACTCAACCAGAGTCTATAGGTCTATTAACAGGACCAGGTGGGTGAGGTTCTGTGGCCTGCGGTGTGCAGGAGGTCAGACTAGATGATCATAATGGTCACTTCTGACCTTAAAGTCTGAGTCTATGAGTCAAGTGGCAAAGATCTGTGTGGTAGAAATAAAAATTCCAACCCTGATGATGATCCATGTGGGTTTCAATATGATGCCAAATGAGGGAATTTCTGTTTTGAGATTGCTTTTTTTAAAAACCTAGGAAATTTCACTCATAAAAATAGCACATTAAAAGAACATTACGGTCACAAAGTCAAGCACTCAAAAGTTCAGAAATGCCGAACTGTGTAACCTTGTTTTTCATTATGATACAGTTTTTAATTACATGATCACATACTATATTTCCCACAGGATCGCAACCTCATTTGGTGCATAGGATAGACCTGCTCTGCTGATGGATCAGGGATATGTGATGAAGAGAGGCTGTTGTCTGTAGGACTCCTGCCTCATTTGTTGCATGTATAAGTTGGATGTTGTGTAGTGAATGAGGCAGGGGACTGCAGGATGGGAAAGGATGGTTTCATGGTTAAGACAATTGAATGTCACCCTGAAGCAATTGGATTCTATCCCTCCATGAGCCACAAAGTTCCTATGTGATACTAGTCAAATCACTTAACCCAACTTTTTCACAGATAGTCACTAGTTGTGTGTTCCTCATTTTCTCGGTGGCCAACTGGAGGCCTTATGGTCTGATTTGCAGAAGTGCTGAGAACTCACATCTGGAGCTGATGTTAGTGGGAGTTGTATTTGAACATACAAAATGCTATGTTCAATGAAGTACTATACTTTGAAATATCATTTCCTAGGTGTCTCAAATCAGGTACTCAAAGATAGTGAACATTTTTGGTTTTGTTCTCTCTGCACCACATTTTCGCCTCAGTGCAAAATAGGGATACACCCCCTGCCCTCACAGGGATGTTGTGAAGATAAGTGCTTGAGAAGCATTAAAACACTGTAGTGATGAGCACCATAGAAAAGCCCAGGGTGAAATTAATAAACCTGTCTTCCAAGCAAGGTTTGAATAATTTGAATGAAATAAGGCATGGATTCACACACCAATAAGCAGAAAACAAAATACTGAATAACTGCTTATTAAGTGAGCACTGTCCATTCTGTGCACTGATTGAGGTGGGGGTCCTCTTGAAAAAATAGTAAGCAATCATGTAATTAAACACGAGTTCATAATTTCATTCAGACAAAGGGACCGAATTAAAGTTGCACAGGGAACCTCAATTCGGGCATTTCCTAACTTGTGATTTCTTGCCTTTGCAACCATAATGATTTTTTTAACATAGTGGTTTTGTGTTTAACATATACCTATGTGGTGCAGGATTAGAAGCCATTGTTTTATTTATTTTTATGAATTATCTGTAATCTACCCAAATTTGCTAAATCCAAATCTCCAGAAAGTGCAGATGAAAAGGGAATCTCTGAAATTAGGGAACCTTAAGAACTCAGTTGAAAAACGTTCCTTGCCAAATATACTGAAACATAACTGTCAAACACACCAAAAACCTTGTAAAATGTTCCTCTGCTGTAGGCCATAGAATAGAGCTGTAATAAACTCTGACCCATAAAAAGTCATGTAAACATTATAACCTGTTTTTACTAGCCCTTCAAGTGCTCAGAGCAATTGATCTTCTACAGTTTGGCTCTTTTCAGTTTCCAAGTCTCCATGAGAATCCAGGGGTGTTCAAGCCCCTCTGGCTTCAAGGCCAAAAATAGGAACTGGCTTGAAAGTTGTCAGTTATTTAGTTATTCACCTCAGGCAGATGTTTGATATTTCCAACAGCAAACAGCTAAAATCAAATCACATAAGAAAATGATTTTTCATTGTAAGTCAAGATAAATGTCCGTGTGATCTTGAGCTGCTCCCCAAAATTGCTATATCTGCTGCTATTGGAAAGAATATAAAAATGTGCTAAATGTAGTTAAAATGGCTGTAACCTTACTTGAGGGGACTCTGGTCACTCACAACAATCCCCCCTTAGGTTCAAAGCTTTTGTTTGCTTTGGGCAAAATACTGCAGTCCTTAGTCCTCAGGAGAAACTCCAACTCACTTCCATGGGAATTTCGCCTGAGTAATGATTGAAGGATTTAGCTCTCTGTGAACTTCATGAGCAAACAGCATAAACTTTACAGTTGTTGATTGCTGCCAAACACTTTCCCCATTATATTGTTGTGGGAAATCAGCCATACTATAAAGTCCTGCTTTATGCCTTCAATAACCTTAATGAAGTGATTTAGGCTTTCGGTATTTTATTTTTTTCACCTCCTATGTGGGAGCTGCTGCTGCTGGCCCAGAAGAACTTCTAAATGTATACACTTAACAATGGAGGCATGTATGACACAGATGGCTACTAAGAAGTTATTAAAGTGGCTAAAAACTTCTTATAGTCCTCACAATGTGCATATAAACACATTTACTAGAATATTTGAAGATGCCCAGACAGTGGAGGCTGGTGACATACAATCAAACTGTATTACAAAATCATTTTAGCTTAAAGGGCTAGTTTCTTCCCCTCCCCCCCCCCATGTATTCTTACTGTTTAAATGTAACTGTCCTTAAAAACCAATTTTGTACCTGAGATCCAAACTGTGCTGACATTTTAGACTGACTGGTGAGAAACTTAATTTGTGCTGTAAAGCCTGAGGAGCCCAGGGAAAATGTGGCATGAGCAGTAAGTGTTAAAATTCCAGTTTTACAATATCCTTCAGAAATGAAAAAGCTACACAGAATATGTGCATGAGTCTAATCTATTCTTTGTCTTGCAGACCAAAAGTCTCCCAGGGTGAATCACAAATCCATGTGATGTCCCCAAGAACTAGATCTGACCTTTGGATTTTTGATTCAGCTGAAACCTGGCAAAAATCTCACAGAAAGTTCCCCACTGGCTGCATATCTTAGTGGTCTCACTTACATATGTTATTCCAGCTGAGGTCAGTGGCAACTCATGTTTGCAAAATGAAGGTCTCTTTTTTTCAGACGGTAGCATGAAAGCAAAACCCGCTCTAGAGCAGTATATTGCACTGAGCATTCCATCATTGCAAACACCTCTGCGTACACTGATCTGAAGATTTGCACTTTTGGGGAAATGTTTGAATAGTAGTTGACCCTGTTTGAGTATAGAGGCTTCTCGTCACTTCTTCAAATGCATAACCCATTCCAATGTTTAGAGATAGCTTATATAGAACAGGGAGCAGAATTCTACCCTTAATTATTTTTTGGCATTTGCATTTTGATGTGTCTGATGCTGACATTTATTTTCACCAACAAAGTGTCTTTTCAATGCTACAAAAACCCAAAGAAAATTATTAATTTCTTGTAGCTGAGACACCTGTGAAAGTGACATGCCTAAATTCACACAGTTGCCATAAACAAAACAGAGAATGCCCTGCAACAAACTAAAGTGAAATAGAAAACACATTTACTGAAGTGTGAACTCTACAAAGTAAACAGCTCTCCAAAGCTGTGCATGATGATGTCAAGCAAGTTTGAGCTGATTAAAACTCAGCTTCTAAACAGAAAACCAGTTAACTACTTCTGGAGAAATTAGCAACATATGGAACAATGACATTCCATCAAGTTATACCTATAGGGTTCTTTCACAGGCACTTCTGAGCAGGTCACTTGTTTGTGCCTTTGTGCTAGCTTAATGATGTTCTTCTAAATGCCGTTGGCTCCAGAACATCAGAGAATTTTAGAGCCAAAATAAACCACATTCTTTGTGTCAATTTATTTTACATTTCCCATCCAGTAGCAATTTAATAAAATTCAAGCCGAAGGCCCTCAACTCCTCTGTGGGCGGGCTGAAACGTGAGTTCATTACACCAAGAAATAAACTTACAGTGGAAACTACTATTTTTTTTTTGGCTTACCTGCATATTTAGTTAACATTAATCACCTCCAGCTGCTTAATTTGAATCAATACCATGGTGTTTTGCAGCATCCCTTCCTTCCCTAGCTGCTTTGACTGTACTACAGACTGAGCTTTGTAACATCAGGACTGCATTTGAAAAACGGGAGTTGCCTGAATACCCTGAGAATTTGTAACAAAAGCAAGATAATGACTGAACATTAATTCCTGTTATAGAACCAGCCCACCTGCCATGATGGAACTGAATGGTTGAGAAAGAATAGCAAGGATATTGGCAGTGTAACTAAGTGCCTTTGCCAGTAGGTCAAACAACATCATTCTATTTGAGCCAAAATAAAAAATTGGAAATGCTATGTGGCAATATATAGCTTTGTTGGCTAACCGACCAGAAACAAAGCATCCTATCTTATTTCAACCAGACTATATTCTCTACAGCTAATTAGTATATTCATAATTATATCCATTCATTTTAGAAATATCACACTTTTTCAGGCTACATCTCACAAATTACATTAGTTCAAATCACAGATGTGAATGTCCAGTTTGTTTGTTTTGCTTTGTTATTTGCATGTGTTTCATTTTCATTGTTCAGTTTGCTGCCCTCTGCATCCTCTTCTTCAAATTTACACTTGTACAACAACAAAAAAACCCGTTGTCCTCATCCTGCATTCCCTGACTGACGTTCTAGAGTTATATGATTTATGCCTAAGTTTTGAAACAGCATCAGAGGACTGTGCAGTGGGAGAGGTTTAGGTTGGATATTAGGAAAAACTTTTTCACTAGGAGGGTGGTGAAGCACTGGAATGGGTTACCTAGGAGGTGGTGGAATCTCCTTCCTTAGAGGTTTCTAAGGTCAGGCTTGACAAAGCCCTGGCTGGTATGATTTAGTTAGGGATTGGTCCTGCTTTGAGCAGGGGGTTGGATTAGATGACCTCCTGAGGTCCCTTCCAACCCTGATATTCTATGATTCTATGACTTTGAAGCATGTTGTAAAGCTTTAGGAACAAAGAGTATTATACAAAATGCACCCACAACTAGAAAATGAAAAACTTGATTCATCTCACAATCCACCGTTGAAAGGGATATTGTAAACAGAAAAAGGGTGGTAGTGGATTCTCTATCACTAACAATTTTTAGATCAAGATGTAATGTTGTTCTAAAAATATCTTCTAGGAATTCTTTTGGGGAAGTTCTATGGCAGTGATTCTTAAACTTTTGTTTTGGTGACCCCTTTCACATAGCAAGCCTATGAGTGTGACCATCTGTGGTGGGGCAGTTGCCCGACACCCTGAGAAAAGGGCTGGAACAGGCTTTTGAGGCTCCACAGGTGGCAGCCAATCAACAAAGGCCTGTAGGGAGCCAATCAGGGAGCCTACATAAAGGCTGCCTAAAGAGGAGAAGTCAGTCTCTCCTTGGCTGGCAAGGGAGAAGGACCGGCTTCTGAGGAAGGAGCTAGTACCTTGGACAGAGAAGTACTGGGCAGGCTCGGGGGAGATAGAGAGAGCTCCAGCCCCGTTACCTGCCAGGCTTCAGGCCCTGCTACGAAGGACCGAGGAGGTGTACAGGGCCAAAGGGAAGTGGCCCAGGGAAGGAAAGCAGGCAGGTGGGGAACGAAGGAGGGCAGAAGGAGGCTGCTGCTAGAGGGTCCCTGGGCTGGGACCCAGAGAAGCGGGCGGGCCTGGGTCCCCCCGCTTCCCGCTTATACTGTGGCCAATACAGACTGCAACTTGCCCCTGAGCTAAGAGGCTAGACTGTGGGTTGCGGTTGGCCACGGCAGGTGTGAGTCCCAAAGACTGCTGGAGTAGTGGGCACTGCCGAAGGGCAGTGTCCTGAAGAGGACGCCGGAGAGCAATGCAGGTCCCAAGGCAGCAGAGCAGATGGTCAGCAAGACACCACGTGCAGAGGGTTCTCCATGACTGGACAGAGCTAATTCCCAGAGCAACCAGCAGGAAGCACCAGCGGTGGTGAGTCTTGACTTTGTCACAACACCCTTTATAAATTAGAAACATTTTAAAAAAATATTTAACACTATTATAAATGCTGGAAGTGAAGCGGGTTTTGGGGTGGAGTCTGACAGCTCGCGACCCCCCCAAATAATAACCTTGCGAACCCCTGAGGGGTCACCACTCCAGTTTGAGAACCCCTCTTCTATGGCTTGTGTTATACAGGAAGTCAAACTAGATAATCATAATGGTCCCTTCTGGCCTTGGAATCTATGAATCTATGACAGAATTCTCCAAATTAACCCATTGTGAATGTGTTGTGATCAAAATTCTCCAGTTGTCCTGGGGCTTTTCTTTATGCTTTAAAAATAAAATAAATCTTTCCTCCAGAACTTGGCTTCTTCCTATGGTTTACCCCCATGATCCCTCTGTCCCTGTCCCTATCTGACTCTGCCTTAGAGAGGTACTTTAAGAGCACCAGAGAAATTTGCAGTTCTGTAACTACATCAAAGTAATTACACCAGTGAAAATATTCACAAATTTTCCTACTACAGACTTTTTATACATGTACTGCTAGACTGGAGTGTTATGAGGATTGGCTAGTGTTTTTAGGTTATCATTTTTGTTACCTTGTTTAGCACTGGCATAACATTAATAGTAATTTGGGTTAAGCGTTTTGTGGCTACTGTCTTAATTTTGCTTACTGCCAACAAAAACAATTTAAAAAAAATGTTAAAGGCACAAAAACTTTTCTACTAATTCAAGATTTCAGCCCATAAATTTCAACCTCTGCAAAATTAACTGGACCTTCCTGATTTGGCGAATGAGTCAGCAGAAACAATTCTGCTTCTCTATGAAGAGTCCCAGCACTTGAGGATCGCTCTAGGACCTCACCAGATGTCCCGATTGTATAGGGACAGTCACGATTTTCAGGTTTTTTTCTTATACAGGCACCTATTACCCCCACTGCCCCGTCCTGATTTGCTATCTGGTCACCCTAGACCTCTCAAAAATATGTTAATCATTAGCTAACTGTAGCAACCTTATTGGCATGAAGGCATGCATGGAACCTCTCTTCTTTTTACCTCTGCCTGCAGTTGCACTGCTTTCTAATACATTCCTAAGGGTTGGTCTACACTGGGGGGGGGGGAATCGATCTAAGATACGCAACTTCAGCTACATGAATAGCGTAGCTGATGTCGAAGTATCTTACGTCGATTTACCAAGGGTCCTCACGGCGTGGGATCGACGGCCGCGGCTCCCCCATCAACTACGCTACCGCTACTCTCTCCGGTGGAGTTCCGGAGTCGACGGGGAGCGCGTTCAGGGATCGATACATCACATGTTAACGAGACGCGATATATCGATCCCCGATAAATCGATCGCTACCCGCTGATACGGTGGGTAGTCTGGACGTATCCTAAGTGATAGAAGCCCTGAGGCAATCAGGCTGATTTGAGTCACCACTAACTTTCACTTGTCCCTAAGGATGTAAAAAATCTACATTAATTTTAATTAGGTCTGTCGACTAATCACAGTTAACTCACATGATTAACTAAAACAAATTAATCGTGATTGAAAAATTATTCACTATTAATCGCAGTTTTAATCGCACTGTTAAACAATAGAATGCCAATTGAAATTTATTAAATACTTTCCTACATTTTCATATATATTGTATTCTGTGTCATAATTGAAATCAAAGTGCATATTATTTTTATTACAAATATTTGCACTGTAAAAATGATAAAAAATCTTTTTTCATTTTACCTCATACAAGTACTGTAGTTCAATCTCTTTGTTGTGAAAATGCAACTTACAAATGTAGATTTTATTTTACATAATTGCACTCAAAAACAAAACTATGTAAAACTTCAGAGCCTACAAGTACACTCAGTCCTACTTCTTAGTCAGCCAATCACTAAGACAAACAAGTTTGTTTACATTTACGGGAGATAAGGCTGCCCTCTTCTTATTTAGAATGTCACCTGAATGTGAGAACAGGTATTTGCATGGCACTTTTGTAGTCGGCATTGTAAGTTATTTATGTGCCAGATGTGCTAAACATTCGTATGCCCCTTCATACTTCAGTCACCATTCCAGAGGACATGCTTCCATGCTGATGATGCTCGTTAAAAAAATAATGTGTTAATTAAATTTATGACTGAACTCCTTGGGGGAGAATTGTATGTCCCTACTCTGTTTTACCTGCATTCTGCCATATATTTCATATTACAGCAGTCTTGGATGATGATCCACCACATGTTGTTCATTTTAAGAACACTTTCACTGCAGATTTGACAAAACGCAAAGAAGGTACCAATGTGAGATTTCTAAAGATAGCTACAGCATTCGACCTAGGGTTTAGGAATCTGAAGTGCCTTCCAGATAAGGGATAATGTTCTGGAGCATGCTTTCAGAAATCTTAAAAGAGCAATATTCTAATGCAGAAATTACAGAACCCAAAACCAAAAAAACCCCCAAAAAACAACCTTCTGCTGGTGGCATCTGACTCAGATAATGAAAATAACATGTGTCAGTCCACACTGCTTTTGATTGTTATCAAGCAGAACCTGTCATCAGTATGGACGCATGTCCCCTGGAATGGTGGTTGAAGTATGAAGGAACATATGAACCTTTAGCACAGGGGTTGGCAACCTCTGGCACGCAGCTCACCAGGGTAAGCACCCTGGCGGGCCAGGCCAGTTTGTTTACCTGCCGCGTCTGCAGGTTCGGCCGATCGCGGCTCTCTCTGGCCGCTGTTCGCCGTCCCAGGCCAATGGGGGCTGCGGGAAGCAGCGCAGGCTGAGGGATGTGTTGGCCGCGGCTTCCCGCCACCCCCATTGGCCTGGAGTGGTGAACCACGGCCAGTGGGAGCCGCGATCGGCCAAACCTGCTGACGCAGCAGGTAAACAAACTGGCCCAGCCTGCCAGGGTGCTTACCCTGGAGAGCTGCGTGCCAGAAGTTGCTGACCCCTGCTTTAGAACATCTGGCATGTAAATATCTTGCAACACCGGCTACAACAGTGCCATGCAAATGCCTGTGCAGGTGACATAGTAAACAAGAAATGGGCAGCATTATCTCCTGCAAATGTAAACAAACTTGTTTGTCTGAGCGATTGGCCGAACATGAAGTAGGACTGAGTGGACTTGCAGGCTCTATGATTTTATATTGTTTTATTTTTAGTGAAGTTATTTTTGTACATAAATTCTACATTTGTAAGTTCAACTTTTATGATAAAGAGATTGCACTACAATACTTGTATTAGGTGAATTGAAAAATACTATTTCTTTTGTTGTTGTTTTTATAGTGGAAATATTTGTAATAAAAATAAATATAAAGTTAGCACTGTACACTTCGTATTCTGTGTTGTAACTGAAATCAATATATTTGAAAATGTAGAAAGCATCCAAAAATATTTAAATACATAGTATTCTATTATTGTTTAACAGTGCAATTAATCGTGTGACTAATCACAATTAATTTTTTTAATCACACGATTAATTGCGATTAATTTTTTTAATTGCTTGACAGCTCTAATTTTAATCAGAGTTCTGCTAGTGCAGGTAATGAAGAATGCTTTCCTTAGGGGATGCATATGAGTACATTATAAGGTAACAGAGAGACAAGGTGGCTGAGGTAATATATTTTATTGGATGAACTGCTGGTGAAAGGCAAGTTTTTGAGCTTACACAGAGCTTTTCTTCAGGACCATGGTAACACACACTTTACGGCAAAGGGACTTCTGTTTCTATCATTACTTAAATAGTAACTGTGATGGTCTCATTTGGTACCACACAGAGCCATTTGATCTGGTTGCTATTGTGACAGTTCTTTTAAAAAAACACCTCCCATTATA